ATATCGCCCCAATATCTATATCTGTCCCGCCGTGCTACAGTTGTAGTTCTTCAAAGTATCCGATGGTCAACATCTCCTGGCATTCGTGCTTTGACATTCGTGCTGGACAGTTGCTTTCGATACCCAATACCTCCTATTGGTATGTCCTAGCATGGAAGTGGCTGATTTTCGGAGACATTCCTTTAGTTTGGACCAATATTCATTTGCAGTTCCAGAAAATATCATTGATATTTGAATCATTGAGATGCTTCAATAATTCAATTTGAAATGCGCTCACTGTCGCCGATTTTTTTAGTTTGTTATCCAGGGAGTTCCGTATGACTAGATATTTTCTATGATGTCGGAAGCAAGTATTAGTAATAAAAACATCATGCTCTTCGGCATAACGAAGAAGGTGTTCTCCATTGGCGCACCGGTATCCGATGTAAGATTTTCTAAAATATTATAAAATATTTATATTTAAAAAATGAAAATATGGTGAAGAAATGAAGACAAAGTTTTCTTAAATTTGATAGTAATAATATTTCATAATAGTGTTGGGATTATCTTTATTGCATAATTCTTTATATAATTAACTATAAAACTTTAATATAATTCATCGAATTTTACTAATTTTCTCTCTTTCTTTTTCTTTCACTAATTTTTTTCGTAAAAAATCACTGTAAATCTTTGAAGATCTTTGAAGATGCGTGTTCTCATTCACTTTCTTTCAGTTTCTTTTAAAAGATAAATTCGACTGAATATTTAAACAAGTTATCATGATAGAAATGAATCCACTTTAATAAATTTTATTAAGGCAGAATATGATCAATTCGATTTAAATGTTTGAATTCAAATAACGAGTATTTTTAAGACTGAATTTGAGATCGGAAAACAGAAAATTTACAGCAAATAGTAAAAATCTAGGAAAAAAATAAGTTAAGAATTTCTTCATCCGTTTTCTGGCCATTAACAGGAGTAAACTTGCTAAAAATAAAATTGAACCATCTATCCCTGAATAACCTGAAGAGGTATTATCTTAAGTAATAAGTGGAGTCAGCAAAATCAGAATCGCGAGTGCTATTGCTTCTTCACAGTTTTTTTTAAAATGCAAAGAATCGGGAAAGTTATTCTTTTTTATTAAAAAAAGTGCGCATTTTGACGAAAACTTTAGCACAACCTTCTGCATTATTAAAAAAAATAAAGGTTTTGAAAAGAGTCGGATAAATAAACATTTACTTTTTCATAAACAATTTAAATTACAGATGAATTACGAAGATCGCCAAAAGTTGATCAGTTAGCATTTGAAAGACTTTGGTTGCAAATCTCCCGGTATTAATTTGAAATGTTAAATGTGCCTTATGTAAGATTAAATAAATTTATGAATGTATAAGGAATGTGATGAAGATAAAGTCATTACAGTCTACTATCGATATTAGTCGCGTTGAAATTCCAGAATTTTATGAATCTTTCGTTCATTTAAAGGTAGAAACTCAGATTCAAATCTGCTCACAGAAGATCTCGTAATTCGCTAAACCTTAAATAGATGGTGAAAGCAAGGAGCGCAAATTAAGACCATGGTGCAGAGAGGTTTTAAAAAGTTTTTCATAGGTAGACTAAGTGCAACTTTCAGTTATTTTGTGGCATCAACTGGAAGTATTTGAGATATTTCACCCTATTTACCAGTGGAGCCGAACTAATGCGCACTGCCATTTGAAAAAAAATCAAGAAATTTATAAGAATTATTGAATTTTAATTCACCATTTCATCATTCTGAATCGACCATTTCAACCGTCGTTTATTTAATTAAATAATTAGCAATATCTTAAACAAATCAAATAATAATTAATAGCAATATAACTTTTCAGATGGCTCATAGCCTACTTTGGCTAAATCGTGAGAACTATACACCATCTTTTTACTTAATAATCGAATTTTTCTTCTCGATTCAAGCAAAAATTTTTTGCCATTCCTTCTATTCTCTGATATTTCTGGCTGACTCCACTTTTAGAAAGAGGTTCTCTCTCAATTCATTTTAGGACAGAAGTGCAGATGAGTTCCCTAACATTATACCGGATTTTACCTTTTCCTTTCAAAAGGGAAGAGTCAAAGCAACATGCCATCGGGTCACCTTATCCGTACACATATTACATTTATAGTATCATTTAAATTTTTTATAACTTCTACATTTTTGTCAAAATTGTCTTGACTAAGCGGAAAATTTTCGTAGAAAATTTCAATTGAATGAGGTTGATATTACAAAATCGATTAGAATTAAATGGTATCTATGAACTTGAGATTCGAATCCAATGTCCGATCTCAGTCAAAATTTCCCGACACTTTACTTAAACAATTCCGCTTAACTCAATCACTCTTGTCTGATTCAATAAGCCTTCTTGTTCTTCCTTACTCGATGCTGTTTTAACTAATAGCTGTCACTCTTTGTCGAAATCTCGTAGCTTCTCTTTCTATTTATTATATTTATTAACTATTGATTTTTCTCCTCTTTTTCCCAACTTCCCAACGTTTGGATGTATACTCCTCAAGAAGATGGATAAATGAATGTGCTTCATTCAGCCATCCAGAAATAATTAATTGAATCTTTAAATTTAAATTTCAATTTCTTTAAATTTCATTTTTATCTTCCTCATTTCTTAAAATTTGACAATTTGATAAATTCTAAGAATTAAGAATTAACTACTTTTAATCATTAAATTTAGCCAACTAACGTTATAAATGGATTAAATTTAAATTAATGGATTGAATTTAAAAATTTATTTTTTGCCTTTTAAGAAGTTCATTTATTTAGAAATCCTTCGAGAGAAGCGAGTGTTGAACCAAAATTTCCATTCATTATTTTCATTCTTTATCTAAACGCCTTTAAACGTCTTTTTTCTTATGGCTTCATATTTTCTGGCCTTTTGAAAAATATTTTACCTATTTTCCGAACTATAGTAATTCAATTATGAGGGAAGGATAGCCGAGATTATTGAGATCAGATTATTGAGCAGTTGGGACTTTGCCTCGGACAGTTTCATTGAGAGATTCTAAGCAAAAAAAAAGTTTCTCATTGATCTAATAGCCAGGGCCTAACCAGAAATGATGAGCGCTTACCACATTCATTATATTTCCATTTAGTCGATTCTCACCGTAAATTGCTCAAAAAATGTGATTGACGAAATCGTTACTTGTAAATAAAAATCGCACTCAGGCATCTCATCCTTCGTCGAAATATCTTAAAAATCTTAAAAATCGCACAAAAAATCCCCTAAAATTATGTTGTGGTTATTTTTCGAGAACACTTATTGAAAAAAAGCTATGAAATGAATGAATTAAATTTGAATGAATTGAGAAACAGAATGAAATTTTATCGATTTACCTCGAACGAAGTGCTCATTTATTAGTCGGCTTATGAATTAACCGATGCCTTAATTAATTTCTCTGGCTAAAATGGATTCTGACTTGGCGAATGCGTTACCTACATCGTCGCGATCAAAACCGATTTATTTTGTATCGGATTTCGATGGCGAGGCCAATTCTATCAATGTTAGTCGTATTTATCGATAATTTTTAAAAGAGTTTGATTATGTAATCTGTTGCCAAATACTTTTCGTATGTTTGGTGAAAAACGTTATGCTTTCCACTGAAAACTTTTAACTTGTTATTCTGTTTTTAGGGCATTTTGCGATTCTTTGTATTGATTTTGGAATTTCAGTAAAACGCTTAATAAAATTATTTTATCACTAAAGCTCGAAAAAAAACGTTTAAATTATCAATAATGTTCCAATTCTGCCAATTCATCAATCAAAATTTTTCATTACGTATCGATAATCGGTGACGACCTTTATTTTGAAAATTAATTTGAATAACAAAAATATGGCAGAATAATTAATTCTATTAACTATTAATTACTGTTAAACCTAGCAGTTTTTTTGCATTTTATTTTACATTTATCTGCATTTATTATGATTTGGTAATACGATTAAAATTTTCAAAATTTTCTGAATGATATTTGTTTCCTTCGTTTAGAACAAAGTACTGAGAGTACTGAGAGAGCAATTACCAGTTAGCATAATTGTTTTCGCAGAATTCTGTTATTAATAAAAAATAATATTTATTAAATTTTCGTTTTTGTCGTATCAATTAGTAATACTAGTTTCCTTCTAACAACTCTCATCTGGCACTGACTATAAGAATAAGACGTCTCCAAATAGAAGTCAATAATAGTAGTCGCCAATAATAAAAGTCATTCCTTTTTTCATCGTCTAAGGCCATATGTCGTTAGTCCCACCTATTTATCTCAAATTTTTGATGTTATATAAAAAGGAAAAAAAAGAGAAAAAAAATTTTTTGATATATAGGATATAGATAAATAATAAATAATAAATAATAATATAGATGAAAGAAAAATTATTTAGTATAAAAACTTTTCTCTCATCCTGTGATAAGTGATGATGATCATTTCATTCTCAACCTCGGGCCTCTAGCACAGGTCTGAGTAGAGATCTCTGACGTTCCAGGAATGCTGAAGCCACTTTAGGAGTCATGGTTCCAAATACTCCAGTTATCACTGGAATTGCTTTGGCCTTCTATTTGCCACAATTTCTCTAGTTCCTCTTTCAACTCTTGGTATTTCTTTAACTTCTCGTATTCCTTCTTTTTGACATTCCTATCACTTGGTATTGCTTATCTATCATCAGTGCTGATTTCTGATTCTTGTCTAATACCACGATATCTGGGGTGTGAAAGAGTAAGCTCTAACCAGTAGTGGTGAGAGCTCTTTAAAAAAGAACATAGTAAAGGACTCAGTTTAGAATGGTGGTTAAAGGCATGTAGTCGACATAGTGGAAAACAACAATTTTTTGGTTCGAATCACAGCCAAGAGCTTTTAGCTTTCGGGTGAGGTCCTTGCGTAAGACTAATGCTTATCTGCCCTAACTCAGTATGAAAGTTACTAAAATAATGGACCTGCTCCATATTAATAAGTTCAGCGTCAGAGATTGAGGAACCAGAGTTATATGATGACAAATGGGCTTATGGAACAGTGCCAGTTATTGTGGGACCAAAGTAGTCTGGCGTTAAAAGGAGTACTGAAACAAACCTGGAGTTGGTGGAATGCTATTATAATAATAGACCTGATCAAAGGAATTATATGAAATGTATGAAGTCACAGTGGATGGAAAAATGACTTATGTGTAAAATAATTGAGAAACAGTTGGTGGTTCAATGCTTCAACGCAAGGAAAAGGAAATTGCTCCCTCAGTTGGAGATGGATTCTGCACTACACTTCAGACTCAGAATGTTCAGAAAGAAGAAGAAAGAAGAGGTATGACAGCAGGATGGGGAAGTTGGAAATTGCCTTTCAATATCTCCGCTGGAAAATAGTTGAAAATAGTGAATAAAATGGTTATAATTAAATCGACTACCGAAGCTCAGTGATGCACCACCAGATAATATGATCGAAGAATGCTAACAGAGCTTGCAATAATTCCTACTGTCACTATAATAGGAACTAATGAATTGAACAGCCACTATAATTCTCGAAATGCTGAAGTATAAAATTAAGAAAAATCAGTGGAATTCGCCTATGGAAAAGGAGGCTGGAAAATAAGATCAGAACAAATAGGAAAATAAGATCATAATATAAAATTAGCCAGCTGACAGAATTATAGAAAGGTGTGTAGAATAAAAATACTATCCTAATGCTGTGAAAATTTGAGGGTTATGCCTTACCAGAAGCCCTCGAGATTGTTAAAGAAAAACTCATAATACTAGCCACTAGAGAAGTACATTAGAGAAACAGATGCTAAAAAGATAAATGCCCTGTTCTCCAAGGGATACCGTCCAAGGTGGAAAATCTCAAATTCGTGCAGTAATATGGTAATAACAGAGCTGCTTGTGGCAGGCTCTCATCCAGACTGGTTAATACAAGGAATTGATCATGAAAAGCCCTTCTCATAAGGGAACAAAACCGTCCAACTACCGACCAATAACCCGCCTACCTACAATGTAGAAAGCCTCGTTAGGCATTATAGCCACCAAGCTTCATGACCATATCAGTGCAGTTCAGAAAGCCTTTGGGAACAGCAATGAGCAGAGGCAAACATCAGCTGCTCATAGATAAAGCAGTCGCTCAAAACTTAAAATCATAACAGACCAATCTGTGCTCAATTGGTATCGACCACAGGGAAGCCTGTGACTCATTATTCCACATGGATTTGTGAACCTGTAATCTATACACTGTTAACAGAACCTTAAAGATGTTTACTGACAGCTCAATGGAACTATGAGAAACGATAATCTTGAAATTAACTTGAAACATTCAGTCATAATAGCTATAAAGTGCGTCATATATGAAGGTAATATATTGTCTCCTCTACGTGCCTAAACTCTTCAGCCAGATAATCAAATGGATACAAGTTAAACATTGGAACTATCACCAGCTATCTCTACATGGATGATATCAAATATACGCCAAAAATGAATGAGGCTCGTTCATTCATCTAATACGGATACAGCGATTGAGAGCCATCCGAAGAAATATGGCGGAATGGTAGTAAAGAGGAAAAAGTAGTAATGACTAAAGGGATGGACCAATATCAGGATAAATAGTGGACACACAAGTGCCTTGGTATCCCACAGTCACATGGTAACCACGATGAGGCGGCAAGGAAGACTGCAACATCTAAGTAGGACAAGACAAATCTTGAAGCAAACTCAGCATGATGAACAAAATCCATGCCATAAATATATTCTCCTTGCCAGTGCGCAGCTGGCATTATAAGATGGACAAAGGAAGACGTGGAGGATACCTGATGTAAAGGCTAAGAAACTCCACACAGAAATTTCCACCCAAATTCCAATATTTAAAGGTTATACATCAACCAGAAAAACGCCAGATGAGCCTTGGTGAGTGTGAACGCCATTATTTTGAATACTTGAAGCATTTATAAAAATATATCAGCAAGATGAAACGATGAACTGAAAGATTATCTGATGTATAAATATTGGAAAATAATCAAGCAAAAGAAATACCATGGCAAAGCAAAGTCCTCCATGGATTGCACTATTGACAGATGGCTGTGGTAGCTGATATTGTGAAATCCTACCAGTGGTTGGAGAAAACCGGAGTAAAAAGCAACATTGAGGTACTAATTACAGAAACACAGGAACACTAAGTACCAGATCCATCGAAACAAGGATCTACCACATTAGACAGGACTCTAGATGCAGACTATGCAAAGCAGCTCAAAAAACCCAATACATTGTGGCAGGATGTAAAATGCAAGCAAATAACATACTGAAAGGCATAAACAAGTAGTTGGCATTATTTACAGGAGCATCTGCTCGGTATATGGTCCTTCCAAGACTAAGATTCCTCAGAAAGTCGTAAATAATAATAAGGCGAAGACTTATGAGACTTCTCCATCGAGACATACAAAAAGTATTGGCCAATCAACCAAATATGGTGGTAATGGACAAGAATCAACACTGGCGGCAGATGTAGAAATACCAAGCGAGAGGAACGTCAGGAAGAAGGAATATGAGAAATTAGAGAAATACCAAGGGCTGAAAGATTAAATAGAGGTGTGGAAAATAGATGGTAAAGTAATTCCAGTGACAATTGGAGCACTTCGAACTGTGATCTCTTAACTTGAAAAAGAGAAAAGTGGATTCAGCAGATTGCAGGAACAATGATCAAAGATCTCAATCCAGACGCATTATTAGGAACAGCTAAGACAGCTAAGATATTGTTCAGAACCTTCAATCTCACAGGTTCTCCGATAGAGAATCGAGGTTGAGGACTGTCATGACCACCCACGAAGGAGTGAGAATTTTTTCATTTACATTTTACAAATACATTTCATATTATATATTTTATTTAATTTATATTTTAATTCTTTCCTTTAAAATTTTTAAAAATTTAAATTTTAAAGAACTTAGCTTAATTGTTATCGAAAATTTTTATTTTTCAGTAAGAAATAGCGTAAGAAAAACGACCGCTCAAAAATTGCGCAAAATATTCAAATGCTATTTAAATGCTATAAATGCTAAATCCATTGATTTCAAACCCTTTACTTTACTCTAGTGGATAAAGATATTAGCACGACTTGGATTTTACTATTTGTTATTCTGTTAAATGAGAAGAGAAAAAAATCGAAATCATGCCATTTGATAATATTTTCATCGTTCAAATTCTTTTGGTACAACTTGATAATTGAGAAAATGGTGTTTGGGTTTTGCAGAAACGTTAATGTCTCGTTAAATTAGGCAATGAGCAGAGCAATCTTTTTTCACGCTGAATCTATTTACTATTTATAAAAGTCCCCTTGTTTATATCAGCTTCTTAATCCCAAGCATTTTTCGTGGATAGAAATGAATTTATAAATATAAAAAAATTCATAAAGCTTCTTATATCATATCTCACTGAATTTATGTAGTTTTCTATGATTTCTATAGTTCATTCATTATTCAAATGATATCTTTCTCACTAAATTAAATTTTTTATAAATTTGCATTTATAAAAATCGAATTACTTCCTCACTTTTTTCGCAATAATTGTCGGTGGAGTAGAAGGAAATATTGTACACGTATGTTGATGGAATAGTATCAATATAAATTAAGGGAAAATCGGGGCTTTTGAATAATAAGTAGAATCTTACTTAATTTAAAAGCAGTTTAATTTTTATAAATCCATGGAATTGGAATTTTTTTATATCATTTTGCAATCACAGATTCTCTGAGTGTAGAATAAACCTTGGAGTCATCCAGATTTACCATAATATAATAGAATATATATGTAATACAATACAATACAATACAATACAATACAAACAAGAGCTATATAAAACAATTTCCATATCTTAGCATTAAGGAATTCAGCCACCTTGCAATATGCATGCTAAACAAAAAGTATGATAGGCCTAGAGAAATTCTTTATTGCCCATAATGAAGAGTTTAGAAAGGAAAGCATAACAAAAATCAAGCAAAATGGTTTAATACAAGTAAAAATTTTTTTGGCCTTTTTTTAACATTAATATTTGCTCTTTTTTATTATTTTATTATATTGTGCTTTGTTATCTTCACTCCAATATCGAAGCACATTCTCTGTTTAGTTCTTATTTATATACAAGAAATGAGTTGATTATATGAATTCTTTCTTAATACAATGATTCAGAAATTTTCTATAATAATTCTATTAAATACTACGTGTTAATCTTCATGTAAAAACAGAGATGGCAAGGCCTATAAAGATTTCAGTCCAACAAAAAGGAAGATATCGTTAAACAAAAGAAAAAAATCTGAATTTCAAAACAAAATTTCAAAACTGCCTAAATATGCGCTGAACCATTTGGTTACTTTATTATATGTCGCTTATTTTCTTTTTTCACAAGTCGAGACATTTTAATCGAAAATGAACTTAGAAAAACTAATGCGAATTTCAAGCCAGTAAAGAGAAATTTTTCCTTGAACCCAATAAAAATAGAAATTAAACGAATAGCGAATTTGATTCCCTCGAGATTCCGAATTTCAATCCCGAACTTCGATATGCAGAAAACACACACCATTCCGGCATTCAACACCATAGTCGTAGCTATACAATTAATTAATTATTTTAATGATGTTTGGTTAAATTCCTTTTGCGTAAATCAAAATTTTTGCATCTTATTTTATATTTTTTGTCAATTTGTTGCCATCATAGCGCCAGCAGTTCAGTTTTTTAAAATTTCTTTCGTTCATCAATACTTCAAAAAGCAATGTGGTCGAAAATAGTTTTAATTAGGACAGAAAATGGGTGTAAGCTCCATGGAATCTGTAAAAGTCGATTTGAAAGGAGTCGATGACCTCGAGGAATCGATTACTGGGGAAGTCAAATGCTTTTGCAATTTTTTTTTAAATTTCATATATATTAATATATATTAATCGACAAAAAACAACTAGACGTGTTTAAAAATTCTTCTTGAATCAAGTATTTGAATATATATATATATATATATTTATATTTATATTTATAAAATATATTTTGTTTTATTTATTATATTCATGCCATCTTAAAAGTTTCATCGTTTAATTCACATGATATATGCAAAGATTTATATGAAAATTCTAAGTGGGTGGATGAGAAATAACATTTTCTTTGTAGGGTAAGAAAAAGATTCATATTGCTAACAATCTTAAGGAGAACGGTTATAATAGGTTACGGCAAGTCTATGAAGTCGCCCATGGAAAAGTTCGTTTTTTTTCAATAATGAACCAATGTGTTAGTTGATTTGATTTTTCTCTTTCAAATTTATTTTCGCTATAGTTTAAAAATTCGCTATAGATGAGAAGGCTTATAGATTTGCTTGAGCATATAGATTTCAATTAGATTTCAATTACTTGAG